AGAGAGAGAGAGAGAGAGAGAGAGAGAGAGAGAGAGAGAGAGAGAGAGAGAGAGAGAGAGAGAGAGAGAGAGACGACCTTCTTCTTTGTCTTCGCTTCTTCTTCTTCTTCTTCTTCTTCTTCTTCTTCTTCTTCTTCCTCTTCCTCTTCTTCTTCTTCTACTTCCCTGCTTCTTCTTCTTCTCCTTTGCCCCCGTTTCGAGCCCCCCTTCCAGCCGTCCTCCACCAGCTGTCTTCTTCTCCCCCTTAGCTGCTTCAACTTCCTCTCTTCTTCTTCTTCTTCTTCTTCTTCTTCTTCTTCTTCTTCTTCTTCTTCTTCTTTGCCACCGTCTCGTGACCCCTGCCCGCCATACTTCGCCCTTCTTCTTCTCCTCCTCCTTCGCTTCTTCTTCATCTTCTTCTTCTTCTCCCCCTCCTTCCCTTCTTCTTCTTCTTCTCCTCTTCCTTTGCTGATTCTTCTTCTTCCCGTCCTCCTTCGCCAGTTCTTCTTCTTCTTCTTCTCGTCCCCACCCCTTGCCCGCAATCCCTGACACCATTTCCGTTTGTTTGTTTTTTTTCAGCCTGTCTTGTGCCACGTGGGGCCGCGTTTTGGACCTTCCCCTGTGGCAGCCGATTTCCCCCAACTTCTTCTCGCCCAACCTTTCTCACCCCCTGATCATCTTCTTCATCCTATTCATCATCATCCTATTCATCATCATCCTCTTCTTCTTCTTCTTCTTCTTCTCCTCCTCCTCCTCCTCCGCTTCTTCTTCTTCTTCTTCTTCTTCTTCTTCTTCTTCTTCTTCTTCTTCTTCTTCTTCTTCTTCTTCTCCCCCCCCTTACCTTCTTCTTCTTCTTCTCCTCATCCTCCTTCGTTTCTTCTTCTTCTTCTCGTCCTCCTTCGCTAGTTCTTCTTCTTCTTCTTCTTCTTCTTCTTCTTCTTCTTCTTCTCGTCCTCCCTCGCTAGTTCTTCTTCTTCTTCTTCTCGCCCCCCCCCCCCCCCCCCCCCCCCCCACGTCAGGGATTCACCTGCTTTCACCCCCTGTCAAATGCCAACCCCCCCCCCCCCCCCTCCTGAACCACCAACCCCGACCCCCCACTTAACACCCCCAGCGCCCCACAAGTTCACTTTTTTATTGCAGATTCGGGGTCCTCTGGATAGCCCAGCAAAACCCCGCCTTCAAATAAAAAAATTCCCTGCTGGGTTTTGGGGCCGCCTGGATTTCCCAGGCGGACCCCCCCCCCGGGCCCACCCGGCCGGGCGGCGGCCCAGCCTACAAAAGAACCGGAAAGGAGAAAAAGGGACAATCTGCTGATCCCAACTCTTGTGAAGGCCACTGGCTCAATTTTTATTTGTCTGAAGGGGAGGAGGCTCTGAGAATGTCCTAACATTGCGCATCGCCACACTAGTCTCCAAATGTGAAAAAGAACAAAATGCGGCGGGTGCATCTGGCCATGTTCTACTGAGAGGTTCATTTTCATTTTGCACATTTCGAGAGTGGTGTGGCGATGCCCATTGTTTCCTGCCGCATGCGGTCGCTAACAAAATTTAGAGCTAGAAACTCACAAAACTGCAAGGCATGCTTGATGCCCAAAGGGTATCTTCTCTTGTGAAATGTTTTCATTTCGTAATAGATCAATCACAGGAAGTGAGCGCTCCAACGATCAACTTACTCTCAAGACTCCACCTTACATGCGCAAATAAATGTGCAATTCTCTGCTGTAGGTCCTGCATGATGCGACTGCAGAACGAAGACATGGACGGTTTTGAGGTAGGCGGCATGAAATGGATCGCTACATGTGTAAGGGGAGCCATTGAGTGCTACCAACCGGTGAGAAAGGAAACGCAACAAGTAACATCCCAACATCGTCATCAGGAGTATGTTCAATCGCTCCATCAACACCTAGACAAAGTTATTTGTAGTGTGCAAACTGAATACCAGCACCCCAACTTGAAATCTGATCCTTACATGAGCAAGACGAGGCATTGAAGTGCTACCAAGTGGTGAGAAAGGAAAGCCACCAGGTAGCCAGATCTAAAAATTATCTATCATTCCGATTGTGCTGAATGGTTGAAGAAACTCCTAGAAATAGTTGTTTTGTTAAATTGTTATACAAATCGAGCCTTGTCAAAAAAAAAAAAAAAAAAAAAAAAAAAAAAAGGAAGAGCCAGTGCGCTGCACAAGGAACTTTTCATTTTCTTTCTCCCTATCCATACCTGCGCATTGAGACTTCGTTGAAAGCGCGTCAGGCACTGACCTGCAGTCCTGCCAGAACCAAGTCTTTCTGCAATCCTACTCCAGTTGACATATTTCTCTTCGCGCGCAATGCTAAGCAATCGTTTGTCCTCCACTTTGCTCCAAGGCCCTTGCTTGATTTTAGGATCATCTTGATTAAGCCACCTGATAAGGAAACAGAAGTAACAACAAGAGAGTCAAACAGCGTATACACCGCAAAAAGGAAAGGAGAAAGTAGATCAACCCAGGAGAATAAGTCTGCAACATCCATATGGTCATTGACTCGTCGATATTTCAAAAGAGAGCAAAACACAGGTGAGTTGACAATCAAATATTGATAGTTTTTTTTTAACCATGCACACAAGCAGACCAGCAACGGGTAAAAAAAGTAGATCACCTTTTTTGCATCTTCACTTGCAATTAAAAATAGAACGTGATATGTATTTGTGGTTGTGGGTTTTCAACCGTTTTTTCTTCAAAACACTATAGATGACCAATGCCTTACCTTGTCAGCACTGCATTCTTGTGGTGCAGAAGAGGTATTCAGGATGCAGAAGGCAGCTGGAGGCAATGGACTGAGGGAGGCAGGTGGTAGGGAATGAAACAGATGGCAGACGGTATGCAAGGGAGGCAGGCAAAATCTCTCTCTCTCTCTCTCTCTCTCTCTCTCTCTCTCTCTCTCTCTCTCTCTCTCTCTCTCTCTCTCTCTCTCTCTCTCTCTCTCTAAATGAGATTAGAATGCAACCCACAAACTGTGTACTTGGGGGAGAGAGAGAGAAGGATTGGAGGCGGTAGCCAAACTATATATTTGTCCTGAGCCTGCCATGACGAAAGTCTCCTCAAAGTGCAATCCTCAACGATGAATTCATACACCACCAATTGATTTCTCACACACACACACACACACACACACACACACACAGAGAGAGAGAGAGAGAGAGAGAGAGAGAGAGAGAGAGAGAGAGAGAGAGAGAGAAACAGACAGACAGACAGACAGAGAGGCAGGGCTGCAGTTCATCAAACACAGAGTAGGGCCGTAGGCAGTAGAACACAGGGTGGTAGGCTCTAGCCAGCTAGCCAAAGCATGTGAGAGCGACACAAGGGGGAGAGGGACAGAGAGAGGCAGGGCTGTAGTTCGTCAAACAGAGAGTAGGGCAGTGGGAGATAGCGAACACGGCGCTCGGCAGCATGACAGAGTGCTCTCACAAAACACAAAACACGGTGGAGGGCATGGAGACATTGGCTGTCAGCCCCGGCGGCGGGTCCAGATTACCGGCTGGTCACCAAAAATTTCAGACCAGCCAAGCATCTTGGCCGTCCTTCACATGTACAGCCCATATCTGCAGCCGGTCTTAGACATCCGCCACCTCAGGGGCCTGATAGGCCAGTTATGACGAGTCGCGTTATGATCCTGGACATCTCCCAGTGCAAAACTCAAAGAAAAAGACAATTGCATTCAATTGCAACTAAAAAGGAAAGAGATTGGAAAGAGACGTAGATAAAGGAAGAAGGAGATGGAGAATGGAAGAAGAAGAAGATAAACAAGCAAGAACCAATGTCACTCCTCCCTCATCTCACCACCGAACCAGAAACAATGTCCGAAACCACACCTTACTGCCGGTCACTCAAGAAGTCCACCATAACCATCCTACACATTCTTCTACACCTAGGTCAAGCCAATGATCCGAAGACAAAAGGAAGAAGAAGAATGGAGAATGGAAGAGGAAGAAGAAGATGAACACAAGCAAGAACCAATGTTAATCCTCCCTCATCTAACCACCAAACCAGAAACAATGTCCGAAACCTCCCCTTGCTGTCATCCACTCAAGAAGTCCACCATCGCCATCCTACACCTTTCTTCTACACCCAGGTCGAGCCGATGGCTATGGCGGATCATCGGAGCCCAGCTCCGATGTGCAAAGGACAACGTAAGGCTACTATTGCTCTCCCATAATCACCACCATGCCACATTCCACCTCCGGAGTCTTCCTTCCAAGTACAACCCCACTAGGGGCCTTCCAGGTGCAGTGCCAACCAAGAAGAAGAAGACACATGCGACCATAGCCAAGGTAAGCTCCTCCTTCACTCCCCTCCTCCTCCTCCTTCCTCCTCCTTCCTTCTTCCTCCTCCTACATTCTCATTCATCGGCCACAGCCATGTCTTCCTCCACCTCCACCTTGGACTTCCCCACCTTAGACGAGGTGGGAGCCAAGCCTTCGTCCTCGACCTGGCATCTCACCAAACTCGTGAGTGCTCCAGCAGTCTCACGCCTTGCAACTGGAAGAACGAGGTGGAGTGCTACGCTGCCTCTTCCCTTATACCGCAGATGCACTCCAAGGTGCCCGGCCTCCTGGCCTACCTCCTGCCGGGAACCCCATTGCAGACTGATATCTCGCCTTTGCAGGCTCTAGACCTAGGCCTACTGGACCGGTACCTACCCCTAAGCCTACCGGATGCTAAAAACACTAACTCAGCCTTTGGAAAGGTACTTTCTTTTTGTCCTTTTCTGATACCCTACCCGCTGCTATTTGATTTTGGCCTCCGCGGGCTGCCTTTCTCTACTCTAATTATTGCACCACCACAGACACACATCGGTACTCAGACAAGCAGGTAAGCGCACGGGACACAGACATCGGCAAGCACTCGGGCCAGGCACACACGGACAGCGGGAACTCGGCAAACACAGAATCAGTGGCAAGAACTCAGAAAAGCACGGGCTTTACAGTCTGCAAAGGGATAAAAGTTCATAAAACATATTTCCAAGGGAACACTGACAAAAGGCGTAAGAGTAATGGTATTGAGGATAAAGAAAAAAACAGGACGAGCATGAAGCAAGAAAGCCAGGCAAGTGCGGGAGGGAGGGGTGGGAAGACGACTACCGGGCACAACCAAGGGTCCAATCACCCCCCGCGCCAGCTGTTGGCACAGAAGCCACCCTTCCATTGGGAGTGAAACCCACTTAGCTTATCCAAGCTTCCTCTCGACCGTCTAAACCATAAACCGTAGCACCCTAAGCCCCAGTACCCTAAACCCCAGCACCGTAAACCCCTGCATCCTCAACCCTGAACATTACCTCAAACACAGGGGTCTGTCGTTTAAAATCTTCCACAGAGTAGTCATGCCAACAGTCAGCGCCCCTGGATAAGTCAGCGACCAACCAGCCGGTCGTTCCACCGGTCATCACCTACGGGTCGGCTGTCGGTCAGCACCCCGGAACATAAAAAATGAAAAACGAAATTGCGGGGTCCCTAACCCCCAATAACACCACCAACAACCCCATAGCGCCCCCCATACACCATCCAACATCCTCAAACCCTGTCTCTTATACACATCTAGATGTGTATAAGAGACAGCCCCCATACCGCCCCCTAACACCTTCATAGCCCCCCCCTTAACCTCCTATAACCCCCCTATACCTCCCCCTAGCACCCTCATACCCCCCCCTTTACCCCCTATAACCCCTGTCTCTTATACACATCTAGATGTGTATAAGAGACAGCCCCCCACCAAATCATCAGCAAGTGCAGTAGAGGCCCGACCTCAGATTTAAGAAACAAAATCAGTGGAAGGCCTTCTAGTGACTGGGCGGCAGACCGCCTACGGGTCGGCCCGACCCGTAGGCAAGAAAGCTGTCGGCCGTCGGCATCGGCGGTAGGCAGTCTGACAACCCTGATCATCCACAACTTTATCGTGAGACTGATGTGCATTTTGTCTACTAATGAGGAATAGAGAAATCTCTCTTGTGGACCCCTACCAATTTGTGATAAGAAATATGATGATGTCCCTGTTGCACTAGGCATCTTCAGAGTCCGTAAACAGATGAGAACCCACTCACAAACAGCATCTAGGACTCTAGGGGCATTCTGATATGGGCACACTTGACATCATCATATATAGCCTTCAGGCCCTTCCCCCCCCCCCCCCCCCCCCCCCCCCCCCCCCCCCCCCCCCCCCCCCCCCCACACACACCCTCCTTAAGTTCAGGGGCATTACAGCTGCTTTTTTTTTGCAATCCCCTTCCTTTTCAGATCAAGAAGTCGTCCCGCGCATTATTATGACAAAATATTTAATTATTTTAACATATTAATATGATATTATCCGTTCAATGGTTCATCTGATTCCATCAGGATTCTAGCTCATGAGGTGATTATAACTAATTACATGCGTGCACCATTCTGGCACTTTTTGCCTTCCAATTTCTGGGACAATTTCCCGAGAGTGGAGCTCGGAATTTTGGCATAATCTCTCACGCACTGGGAGTTTGATGGATGTATCTAATCGGAATTTACAACCAGTTTCACTCGAGAAAGTCCTCATGTGTGTCGTGGCAATTCTACTACCATGAGATTAGTACATCGCTCCATCGAAAGTGGCCAAAGAGCAGGAATCAGAGGGGGGGGAAAGACCACTCACTGGATTTTGCAGTCTATTCCAGATCGTGAAGGCAAATAACAACTGGCGAAATCTTCCCAGTCCAAGCTGGGAACAATGGCTGCCAGTTCGTCGGCCGTTACTTCTCTAGTGCCGAGATCTGCTAAACGTTGATCCAAATCGGAGGCCTTCTCCGGCGTGATGTCCCGATCCCTGGTCAGCCCAACAATAGACATACACAGGAGAAACAAGCACTTGAGAAAAAGTTATCCTCCAATGACGAACTCCCACAAACTTCAGCTCCCCCCCCCCCCTTTCTATTTCTTCCAACCCAGGAAAGGCTTGGGGGGGCGGGAGGGGGGAGTTGAGAAATATGACGATGCATAGGACAGCACCATGAGACACCACACTCACGAGTCTCCTGCAAACATCAACAAGCAGCATGCTACGACAGTAACAACGAGGAAAAGAGAGAGAGAGAGAGAGAGAGAGAGAGAGAGAGAGAGAGAGAGAGAGAGAGAGAGAGAGAGAGAGAGAGAGAGAGAGAGAGAGAGAGA